ATATATATATATATATATATATATATGTATATATATATATACATATATATAATGCACCATCTTTTCAGTGTTTTCCTTATTTTCAAATAACAAATAGGACATTTTTTCTTGGAATGTTTTGATATTCCATATTTCCAGAGTTGTTTTATTGCGCAAACAAATAGTAATGCTAGTACGGTAATAGAGATGTTAATAATAGAAATGATAACAACAATAAAAACAATGATGCAGTAGTAGTAATAGACGGACCTTCTTGATGGAATACATCACTACCACAGCGCTATCCTCCCGATAACGATTGCAGTAATAATAACAGTAATAGAGGAAAAGGATGAAGCCCTCAGTGTTGACGAATTCCTAAAGGATACCCCACCTATCCAGGTTTACCAACCATCATTAAAGGCGACTGAGCGGATACCTGAACCATACAATTACTCGCGGTGATCTGCCGACGTATGGTGTCAGTGCTGATATCCTACCCAATAGGTCTGGTAGCAGTTTGCCCACTACGGAGTGATAGGAGACTTTAATTAGCCCGAGACAAGAGACTGAGCTACGTGAGGCCCTTTAAATTTATGCTGACAATGATTATAATAATAAGAACTTTAAATTACCTTCAACTCTTTTTTTATTTTATTTACTGCCTCACCGGAATCATATGTAATTCGGATGCAAGTAATTCCTGCATCCTCCTCACTCCCTTATACCCATTTTCTGCGATGGTTTTCTGATTTCCGTGTGTATGTGGTTTCTATTTGAGCGCTCCTTGTCATCTGGATGGCGTTGCATGCTGGTCGAATTGACTCTTCGCGGAAACATGGGACAGCTGGACTAGGGCAAGTTGAGCTCAAATCACGGCTTGGAAGCCGCTTTGCGCCGGTGGAAGACTGCGGCACTCATGTAGAGTTTCTAGACGTGAATTTGGGTTGGTGCGATGACTGGATAGAGACTTTTCTCTTCAATATGTATTCTTTCTTTGATGAGCTTACACGAGGTTGATAATGATATTTATTTATTACCGGCTAACGTTTCGACGTCTTCGTCTTTCTCAGAGCCGGTGATCCGGTAGTCGATGGTCCATGCTTGTTGTTCGTCTCAACGTTGCAGCTTCGCCTTCGTGTCGAGTCAGGTCAGCATCGTGTATAAAAGGGCATCACTGAGTGAGGATGCCTCATTCGAGAAGATGGCTCACTGAGGAAGCTTTCGTGTCGAGTCAGGTCTTCCTCAGTGAGCCATCTTCTCTAATGAGGCATCCTTACCCAGTGATGCCCTTTTAATAAGGATGCCTTATTCGAGCAGATGGCTCACTGAAGAAGACCTAACTCGACACGAAGGCGAAGCTGCAACGTCGATACGAACAACAAGCATGGACCATCGACTCGGATCACCGGTTCTGAGGAAGACGAAAACGTCGGAACGTTAGCCGATAATAAATAAATATCATTATCAACCTCGTGTAAGTTTATCAAAGAAAGAATACATATTGATTAGTGATACCGAGGTTCAAGGAAAGTCGGTTTCGAAATATTACTTTTCTCTTCGTTACTAGTTAGAAGACCAAGTCAACTTTGCCCAAGCAGTGGCTTTGGATGAACTCTAGAAGCGAATGCGAGAAATTATAACTTCCGTCCTGTAGAACTTCTTGTGAAATCAGTTCCTGAGGCTTCCGGGTGGCCTTCGAAACTGACGGAGAGTGCGGGTGCCCATGTTTAGTTTTGAATAGAACTTCATGTTATACGCTTAATTCTTATATCTGTCTTTTCGTAAAAAATATGTCTGAAAAGCAAATTACAAGAGATCACACTGTGAACTTTTTATTTACTGCCTATTATTGTTTTTCACGAGAAGGTATGATATGAAATGGAATCACTATGTTGCTGAGACATTTGCAAAACGTGGACCCTAGACCAGATCGAACAGCGATTACGCTTTCCAGTGGTTTAAGTGTTACCCATTGCATCATTTAGGGCATTGAAAATTGCAAAAAAATTTAAAATAGAAAGTCACCAAACAGCCGTATTTGAGTCCAGAAGATTGAAAAATTTTTTCTCAAATTCACTATCCATAGCCCCAGAATCCACAAAATTACTCTGAGTATCAAATTATTTATTAGGCATTTTGGATATCCTGTTCATTTCAAATCGAGTTTTATGTTATAAATACCATAAGGCGGCAGTAAGGCGGTAGTAATGATGCCGATCATCGCGAGCACGATGCTGGTTAGCCTCAGCGCTGGACTCACCAAGCTTCTCAGCTCCTCGACGTTGGAAGCCTAGTACAAAACTTGTCCAGAAAAAACTTACTGTTTACAAACCAAGTGGGAGCACTCGACCCATCCGGGTTAGCTCAGGACTTCCAGGGAAAGTCGATTCGACCAGCATCTAACGAGGTTCATGTCGAAAAGAAAAGCATAAAGAAGCAGCTGAACTCGTACGTAGAAGTTGTATGACTTGCGAAAATTGCGAATCCGCGGAAACCAATCGGATGCCAAAAGTGCAGGAATCCATAGAGTAGATCAGAAAGGTGGGTTGTCCCGAAAAAATACTCTGTCCAGGCAAAATGTACCTGCTTACTCGGGCGTATGGGTAGCCCGCACTCCTAATCCAAATACTTCTTGAATGCGTTTTGTTTCCAGGCGACCGCTTGTGAATTCAGCTGTAGACCCGTATTCTAACCTTTTTGACATGCTGGACACTAGTCGAGCGTAGTTCTAGTTGGAATCCCGAGATGGTAGTGTTAGGACATTTTTAAATCTTCACCGTAGGCAATCACCGGCCTTTCTCGAGCGAAGGGAGGTTCGCAATCTTGCAACTAAACACTAACTGTAGCAATTCTTTATATCTTTTTTTTTTTCGAAGTACCTATCGATAGCGAAGTAAAAGGACAAGTTGTGAGCAAGATTTCATTTTTAAAATTTTATGAAGTTGAAATGGCTACGAATTACTGAGCGCCTACGATACCTATTACGCTGTCGAAATTCTGATATTTCAGAGCGCAAACATACCAAATCCACTTGCATTGGATACATAAAGAAGCGGAAGCATACATTTTGTTCGTGGACATTTGGAATTGTCGCCATCGTTATGATAACAGTTATCATTGTACTGCAAACCAAAGCAGATTTCAGCTAACTTAATTAAGATTACTTGAACTGGGCCGTAGAGTTACCGTAGGAAAAGCAGCCGTGTTGAACGATCAGTTCTACCACATGAAACGAAAAGTTCAATTCCTCGATTTCCATATTGGGCTTTAATATGCCGTATCATCTCTATACTGATAATTCAATCATATTCAACGTTTTTATTTTAACCACCAATGATGCTCACCAACCTTTTATCTCTCCGGGATCGGCAAATTGGTACCACGCAACAATCATAACCATCATTCATTATAGCGATTGGAGTTGAAGAAACGTTATCAGTCAAAATACCAACCAGAGAATTTGTTTGAGAAAATCGGAACGGAGTTCTTTGCAAATTGCTAAGTGTAGAGAAAAGCTTTTTATTGCTTGCACCTAACATAAGGGGCGTGTGTAGCGTAGTGATCAGAGGTGCATTGCACGGGATCGAATCCCGCACCCAAGGCTTATCAACCTTTTATCTCTCTAGGATCGGGGCGAATTGGTACCAGACTCGTCTAGGAAGCACTGGTCCATCGGTAGGCTACCGCGAGTGATTGTAAAGGCCAGCTGTGCATCCAGTTACCTCCAACGACACTTGATGATGTCGAAGGCATAGCGCATCCCTCAGGAATAGATCAACGCAGATAGCTCCATCCATTTTTCAGGCCTAAAATAACGTCGTCTTTGATAAGCTACCGATCGGGTACACAAATGCAACAAGAAACCTTATGAGGGAAGTAAATGGCCGAAAAGGAAATTCATAACATGCGATGTACCTCGGTCAATTAAGCCTGGAACTCTTGCATCATATGTAGTGCATGTCGGCGCAGCAATGGGTGACGTCGACGATTCTCAAGACTTATTAAGCGGACAAGTTAAAGGGTAAAGGATAAGCGGACAAGTTAAAGGGTAAAGGTAAAGGAAAAGATAAGCTCTCGGCGTTGATCAATACCTAAGGGATGCGCCATGCATTCGACTTCATTAAGCATCGTTGGAGGTGATTGAATGCACATCTGGCCTTTACAATGACTCGTTGTGGGCAACCGATGTATCGAGCCAATGCAACTATCCTCTCAGATAAATCTGGTACCAATTTACCGGCCACAGAGGAATGGAAGGCTTGGTGGGCCATGGGCGTGGGTTTCGATTCCGCGTGTGTGTTGCAGGGCGCCTCCGACCACTGCGCCACACGCGCCTAATTGCGTTGATAGAGATTTAAAAAACGTGCTAGAAGTGCGTGCACTTTACTTTTTATTTTCAAATGGTGGATTTTCTCTCGTTTATATTTTTAAAGTGTTATTCGAAAATAATCAGATCCAAATCTATGTAACGAAACACCCTCCTAAGAAAAGCACTAATTGATCTCTAAATCTTAAAGAAATTTATTGCTTAGGGCTTAAAACTTCACATTCAACTAAAAGGTTAATTTCGGTTTTGATCATGTGGTAACATAACCGGGTTTTCTGCACTATTAGTCAGTAATGAAATCCAATTTTATGACTTCACGAGGTTAGAACACTTCAAACTCGTGCGAACTCAACAATTTAAATATATATTGATTATTTTTCTACCGAGCTTAAATGATGGTTGGTTTGCAAACTGTTTTTCTATAACTTCAGTCGAACATTGGCTAGTAAAGTTAATTTCGATTTACTGTTCATGTTATAACGGAGTCTTTGACTGCTGAGAAAGCAGAAGAGAAATCTGTTGCTTATTTAAGCGCTATGGCAAGCATCGCAAACATGAAACACTTCTGCCCGTCAATCAACTGAACACCGGCGAAATTGTGTGTTTCCTGACTAGGTAAAAACCCAAAACCCAAAATTTGTGACCAAAAATAAAAGGACACGAATACCTTTTTTCATGGCCCTAGTTAAGAACTCTGGTTATCTGGTGAATGGACTTCTTGTTGTGCACTTATCTATAGAATTCACTGGCCTACGATGACGTCTACTGATTATCATTAGAAAACATCTCGCAACGGTTCCACCTAATTTTTAATTTCATGATATGTGAAGTAATTCCCTTACCTACACTGGTCGATGAGAGGTGAAATTTCAGGTTCTGCCTATTGATTTCTTGGTTCAAGATTGGACATCAATATGTAGTGCTTTGGCTTCCGAATCGCAGGTTCAGAAAGGAAGATAGTCAAAGTTGAAAATGTGGGCATTAAGCACGAGGTTTCTTCCCCTCTCCTTGTATCAGTACCCGACTCTATTCGGCTCCTATACCAAGGTTCCATTCATTTTGAACAGAACTGACCAAAATACACAAGGCTGAAGCATTCTGAGATTTATGTTTCGCTCGTAGTTATTGGATTATCAGAAACGAGAACATATCTCGTGAACATCGATTTTTTTCAAATTCAACTAAGTATTGGTGACTCCACATGTGGTACTACGATCGGGTTCTGTAGCGCTCATCCAGTAATTCTCGCCCTATTTCCCATATCATTCTATCACATTCGTCGTGTAACGTTCTGAGAGCTTTCTTAAGTAGCTTAGTAAAACGGCATTGCACTGACGAAAGCCTTATTTTCGTCGGTATTCTCACTAAACAACGGTGAAACACTGGCTAGGAAGTCGCTTTACATTTCGTGAAGGTGTAGTTTCTGAGGCAGAAATGACCTAGTTGTAAAGAACTTCTATTATGGTATCTGTTTCATTTAAGGAAAGAGATTTTAAAGTCGAAGAAAAAGAAATGTGGCGCCATTTTGTGTGATTCAATGACTTTAATTATCCTGTTGAAATATTGCGCCGTACCGAGGTTTTTCGATACTGTGCTATGCTTACCTGGCAAGGGTTTACTGCCTCATTGTGGCTGGAATGTGTTCCTAGATGTCGTACTGAGAGGTACAGAGCGTGGGGTTTATCATCTTAGGAGAGCTTCCCAGGCAAAGAAAGAGTACAACATTTCCATTTGGAACCCCACCTAGGAGAAAACCAATACAAGGAATCTCCACCGTCCTGGTGTCAAATTATTTGCAAAGTGGCAAATTTTCTTCTGACCAACAAAGACCGGCAATTGGGTAGAGCGGTGAAGAAGCTTTGGGCTAAGGTGATCTTGGAAGCGCAGGGAAACATTGACTAAACCAGCAGTTCCAGCCTGAGCAGCCCGTATATTGAACGCCCCGTCTACGGCGTTGGGCGGTAAGACAACCCAGTCAGAGATTGTGAAATCTTGGGTTGCAAGTTTGTATGGAATGAGTCTCACGGAAGTCACCATATTCGATGCAGACTATGCGCTAGAGAAAGAGAAGGTTATGATAGAACCCGCACCATTAGCGAAGATGGGTTATTCAAGTATTAAAGTTCTGCTTGAATGGCTCTGCTTTATTTAATGATTTGTGAACCCTGCAAAGGATTCGAGTTCTGTAGCTTATTTCCAATGCGTTTAAGGCTTTTCTTTTTCAAACAAAACGATTTTGTTGGCTCTTCATTTGAACCTTACACTCCAACAATGTCCGAGGAGATGCGACTAAAATTAATGCTACCTACACCATGAGACACTACCTCCAACTTTAAGAACAGAGCTTATTAACATGTATATGTGATTTTTTATGGATGATCATGGACAAGCCCGGATATCGTATAGGTCTCACTGAAATCACCAAATTGTTCCAACCATTTCGGTTCTTAAGTTTTCTATGAAGTTCTGCAGACGTTTTTGTACGACCGGGCTTGGCATTGGAGTAGCCAAAGATGAGCTGCTGTATAGTTTGATCTTCCTTTTAGAAATTCTTCAAATCAATATCTAATGAGTGCTTCGACATCATCACTGGAGTAGCGTGATGCTGTGATGTAGTCCTTGTGATGACAGTGACAATCAGAGAATACCTTACAATTCTTTAAAATGGTTGCACTGGTGCCATGTTTAGACCGGGACCAGTTGCACTTCGTAACGGTGGAAAAATGTACAACCATGTCCAGTCAGTACTGTTTCAACTGTGTGTAATTGTATGATTTCGTAAAATCTTTATTAATCAGTTCTATTTAAAAGATTATTCGACTGGAATGCCGTCCAACAGGCCACTGCAAATTTACTACTATGTCTTAATCACCATAAGACTTTCAAAATCAACACATATGAAAATCATGTAGAAGGAAACCTAGCAACGAGAAGTAGTATGAAAGTAACAACGGAGAATGGACAACTATTAGAAGATCTGCTAAATCTGCCCTTTGTTTGACGACTAGGAGAGATTGCTCGCATAACTCTGGCCAGGTCAAAATTACAAAGATGATTTTGACATAACCACTGTTCCACGTCTAATATACGCCGATAACCACTCTGTAAACGACCTCTCTCGTTAATCCACAATTGAGGACGGAATAATACGGTAACCGTACCTTTAAGTGACTCAAGCTATTGCGTTCGTTTACCGACACACAGCCTTTGGCGTACTTGCCGCTATGTTTTTGCACGAAGCAATAGTCGCCATTGCAGAAATGCTTTTTATTCACCTGAAGGTGGTCGTAGATGCTTAACAAATCTATTGGAACTTAGGTTTATTCCGACCTGATTATTTTATTGTTATATAGGTCGGGTTAATTTCATTGTTTCGAAAGATAGAATGTTTTTTTGCAAATTTGAATATTTTGAGCAAATTAAACACGACATAAACATATAAATTGACAGCCGCGTGTGTCACCTTACCGCAGTCTCGCTCTTAGAACCATGTGACACGTAGCATCGAACTGGTCCAGTTCGTACCAGTGGAAGATTCGTATTGCAGTGATTCTATAAGAAGACAAATCCTTCACCGAGTGTAAAGGTAACCAGAAGGATAAGGAAAAGTTTTAGAAGGTTCGCTTGCAGTTACTAGTGCTGAAGTCCTCTCCACAAGAAAAGTCAATTACGGCCCACTGGAGAACTTTTGAAAAAGAAAGACAGAAAATTATAGTCGTGATAACAGCTATGAAAAAATTGCGGAAAACCATCAAATGTAACCCCCACGTCGGACTTTCTATTAACCTCGGCATTGATTGAATAATTCTTTCCACTTCGGTTTAGCAAAGACGAGGTGTTATTTTACTTCTTTATTTACTCACAAGTGACGTTTCGGCGGATTTCGCCTTCCTCAGAGCCTGGAAAGATAAAGTTGACAGCAATCTACCCGGTCAGAGACTTTCACAATCAAACAGAAAAAACGCTAAACCAAGGTTTCAATCACATCGAACAGAAAATAGTTTCCTTACACACTCACCGCTTTCCATGAGCCTTCCACTGAGTATGTCACGTGGAGACGTGGAGGTGGAGATTACTGTGAACTTAACCTTTCGAGGCTCTGAGGAAGGCGAAATCCGCCGAAACGCCAGCTTTTGCGTAAATAAAGAAATAAAATAATACCTTGTGTTTGCTAAGCAGAAGTAGAAAGAATCATCAAATGTCTTTTGAGAATGCTCTGCTTTTCAAAATGGAAAGCTGAAAGAATATGGAAATCCATGCTCAATGCCCTCGATAATTATTACGCTGTAATCCTTAGTATAAAAGAACGGATAACGTAGTGGTAGTGATGCCGATCATCACTAGCACGACACTGGTTCGACACTGCCCAGGCCTAACGGGCCTCCATCCCCCGGGGTCGCGAAATTGGTGCCGGACTTCGCAAAAATCACTCTCTGTAATCCAATTGGGAAGAGTCCCCGGCTATCTGAGATATCTGAGGATTATCTGGGGACTGTAGTGAGAATCTACTCGAGCAGTATTCTACGACATTCAAAATGGAATGAAAACTCTCAAGCAGCAGCCGAAGACAGACGGAAATATCGAAAGATCTTCTTGGATGATGGATGCGAGGAAACGAATCGAGTGTGAGAAGTGCTGGAACCCAGACAGTAGACACAAAGATGGGTCGTATAAAAAAAATTAAAATAAATCCTTGATAATCATACATGTTTGTCTAGGCACGATGTTTCTAGATGCACTAATCGGCCACGTTGTGTGATTGAAGTAAAATTTAACAGTACTGTTTGACTGACCTTTGAGCAAAAGCAGTCGGTTACACTCTGCTTCGGTTGATACTGAATGCGATAGCATCCATTGGGGTAGAGTGCTGGGAAATCTATACTGTTCCTCAAGCGTAAATCGAAATCGAATTCACTTTTGTCACCGCAGTTGTACAGAGTTATGACATCAGGAGGAAATTCTCCGGAATATGACTGCAAGTGTTAGTATGTACTCATAATTCTTACTTGATACTTGATACTTGAATGACCCGTCCTCACTGGTTGTACGTCGTACTGGTCTCCAGTATAATTTCTATTTTTTGGAGATTCGCTGGTTAAGCGATTATGGTTCCCTCGAATCCCGAGGTCACCCTAGCCAACGTCTGCTCCAGGTCATCGCCACCACAGGATGTCCCACACTTGTAGCTCAGAGGAAGATTTGCCACCATGCGACTTTGATACCAGGGCAGTGGTGGTTCCTGGTATTGGTTTACTCTTAGCTAGGCTTCCTAGGGAAACGCCGGACTCCTCCTCAGCTTGGGAGACCCTACCAGAAGATGAATACCCCACTGTACATTGCAGACCGGCATCCAGGAACACCTCCCAGCCACGATGAGGCGGTAGACCGTTGGAAAGTACTCATAATAATTATAGCAATAACACTAATATTATATGCATAGTTATGGATAAGCTAAATTACTGACTTCTGTCCTTGTCTTGTGGCAATAATTAGAGAAGCACAACCGTTCTCTTCGAGTATCGGCTATATTGGTACTTGTCTGGAACAGCTTATAGTGAAAGAAAGAAGAACAACAACGGATATTCAAGTAAATGTGGCTGTGGATTTATTATGCAACTTTAGCTTCACAGCTCGTACAACAGTTTATTTCAAGGAACCTCAGAAATCAGTCTAAACTTCGTTCTAGTTTAGCCGATTTGTAGTATTCCTATTTATGTTTTAAAAATGAACTTCAACATCGGCTATTGGAAGAACAGTAGAAGCGATCTCGATGTAAAGGTTTTAAGCATCTTCTGCCAACATGTTTTCCCCATTGTTGGTGTGCGATGTCTTTTGAAGAGACTTAGGGAAACACACACACACACATGCACGCATACCACCACACACGCACACACACTGTTAAACCACTACCGCTCACGTGCTATACACAGCACTAAGGGAGGCTCTTGTTTTGCTTCACTTCGAACCACATTTCACTCTCATTTTCTCATTCCCGTAGATAAATGATTGCTGGTAGCACCTAAGGGTTAACATATGCCCGAGAAAAACAACGCAATGGCCTCAGTTGGTGTGGTGGATGGCACATGAGCCTCAATAGAGATAATCGTGGTTTCGAAGCGCAAGTGATGTTTCGAGTTTTGCTGATTTCTCATAACCTCTTGGTCGGACTTCACATACAACCCATGTTCAGAAGGTTAGATTTTAAAAACATTTCGGTACACATATAAGAAGTATTCTACATGCAATCATGCGAAAGATTTCAAAAAGATGAGAGCAACATATAATAACGTAAAGACATATTTTCAACCAGTGTTCTATTTTTGGGAATTCATCCTAAAGCCATAGTTTGAACAGCAGGCTCTAGCTAATGTAAAAAACGTATCACTTCCATTCTTTACTAAAAATATGTAAAGCACAAAACCCTCACCACTTTGCTTATACACTCCACTAGAGGAAGTCTTACAACTGGAAGTGGACGTAAGGTATCCTCTATCCGTTCGACATGATTGCATTGATCACCATCGCTGAAAAGAAATACCGGGTGTACGAACAATTTTTCTTTTGTATATCTGCTTAGAAGCGACCAAATGCACATGCTTGCAAATCTGAATCTTGCAATAGTATTAATCTTTCCTAAAAATTTAGTAAAAGGGAGTGCAACCAATACCAGGAATCACCACGGTCCTGGTACCAAATTAGTTGCATGGTGGGAAATCTTCCAGTGATCCACAAAGGCGGCGATTGTCTGGGTTCGTGACCACCTGAGGAAGCTACTACAATGACTAGGCCAGTAAATGGTCGGCCTCAGAACCACGCACACAGGGAGTTCTCGTCTATGACGTCGAACTATGAGACAATCGGTGACAGACGACGAAATCTTGAGTTGCACAGGATATGATTGGAAAAGGGAAGAGCATGCTCAAGACACGTCATGGAGACCGTTTTTTGTTGTGCACCTCTAAACCCAGAATAGCTTTTCAGACGCCGACCTTTACCCTCTTCTTGAGACCGCTGATTCGATCAATTTCCAGATAACTGCCCCACAAGAAACGAAAGACAGGAAGACCGACATACTCCAATTAGATGAATGAATCGTCTTCATTCGTGAATAAAAATTCTTGCTACAAAATGCCCGAGGTCTTCTCTTCCATCTATTTCCCGTCTATTGAGCTCAGACAAAATCCTATCACCGCTCCTGGCCATTAATCGTCATCAATTTACACTTTAGAAGACAGTTAGTATCATCAACTGTTACTTACAAACTCGTACAGATGATGACAACGAATTAACCGCATTCTGCAGCCATTTAGAGGACGGAATCCAGAGTGATAAGTCTTTATATAAAATCGTTGTTGGAGACTTCAACACCTGATAGGAAGGATCAACGAAAATGAACACGGTATGAAGAAATTTGGAAGAGTAGAAAGAAATGGGAGTGAAAACCGTTCTGTAGGATTGTTGTCCGCAGCATGTTTCCTCCACGGGAATTCATTCTTCGAGAAAAGAGGCGATCGCCGGTGGATATGGGAGTCTCCTAACGGCGCGACTCATGCAGAGCCTTAATAGTACCTGGATTCTGTAGTGCATCTGATTAGCGTCTTCTCTGTATGAAGAATCGACTCAGCTATAAGTTAAAAGAAAAACTCTTGTCATCGCCTAAGAAAAACAGAACAAGTGTATGACGTGAATACTCTCAAAAAGGAGTTCCTCTGTTCATATAATTTCAGATAAATGAAGATCCTATAGAGGACTACACGCGAAAGATTTAAGAAATTTTATCGAAGTTACCTCAGTTCCTCAAATAAGAACTTAGAACTGCATCTCAATGACCAATAAGCAGTTGCACGTAAAAACAAGGACACTGATGCTTGCTCCTAATGTAACACACCTAACTTGGCTTATAATAAATGCCAGCCGAAGTCGATATTTGTAAAAGAATCTACATTCCTATAGAAAAAAAAGTTACTAGAAGCAGCTGAGAAACTACCCAGACTGAAAAAGTGCTGTCGGGATCATTACGATTATAATACTCCGCTAACCTTCAGAGGCGGGTGTGGTCGGAGGCGCCGTTCAATACACACGGGATCGATCCCCGTGTTCCAGGCCCACCAAGCCCTCAATCCCCTCGGGTTCGACAAATTGGCACCACGTCTGTCTTGGAAGATAGTAGCACTGGCTCGATACAGCGTTAGGCCATCGCTAGTCATTGCATAGGCCAGGTATGCACTCAGTCATCTCCAACGATGCTTAATGAAGTCGAATGCACGGCGCATCCGTCAGGGATTGTTCAATGTTGAGAGCTTTTAGATCTTTATGTTTTTGGAATTATTGATAATAGAAAAATTGAACTGATGCCTAATGACGACTGTTGGTGAGCCGAGCGATGATACCACTAATATATTTTGTTCTTTTCATGAAATTAGACCAGTCATCACGAATTTTTTTCCGGCGGACGTCTCGATCCCTTCGACTTTTTCAAAGCCGGAAAAAAATTGAAAATCGAAAAAAAAATCGACGTGAAGACCCACTTGCAAATACACATCGAAGCGCCGGCTAAGTTTGTCCTGCAACCGATTTTCGCCGTGAAATGCGTATCCACGCCCGAAAGACATCCCTAAAATGATCTCTAATTTTGTCTGTTATGGCTATTGCATAACTGTTTAATTGCTGCCGTATTCACCATGTATAACTTTTTATCTACAACATGTTATATTTTGACAAAAAAACAGGCGACGGATGGGCAAGAACAGTAGAGTGAACTCCAAGAGAATGCAAACGTCCCCTAGGACGACCACCTCGGGACGTTGGGCGGACGTGTTCGTAAACAAAGTTAATCAGTTGTATCCACATTTGCAGTTGTTTTATAGATCACGGTATCAGACTCGCACGCGCTACCATGCTCGAACAAGGCCACCACCATGGACTACGAATGCGAGAGAAAGGAACTAATAGCGTATGTGCAGGGGTCCGCACAAATCGTGAAGACGGACCGTCCAAGTATCCAAATAAGTAAGTATTATATTTTTGATGGGAGGGTATTAGCTGAATTACAACCACAATGATGCTGAGATTTTCGCAAAACGTAGACCCGACGCCAGTTTCGAATCCGTGATTACGCTTTCCAGGCATTCACGGGTTACCCATTGCACCACTGAAGCCTTTGATTTGACTTTCTCTTTGCCAGTTTTTCACCTATCCGCGCCATCAGCAGTGACCTGTTAACGGGAATGGTACGTGGAACAAAAATTGGTATGGAACCCACTTAAGCCGAGGCTGCACTCGAAATCACAAATCTGGCCTTAGATCCAAGTTATGCAAAAGCCTCCTCATTGTGGTTGTATTTCAAAAACATCCATACTATGAAAAAGTAATAGGCAGTGCTTAATAAGCTTAGAAGCTAGTTATTTTTGAAAAACTGACTCTTGTTTAAGCTCAGCATTATTACGCTCTGTGTCGACTGAGTCGTCAACCACATGCGACTATAATCAGCTGTTCTAAACTTCCTCATTGGAAGTCACGAAAAAGCGGCTCTGAAGAAGGCGATACTGCCGAAGCCAAGAATCTTCAAGCAGCAGACAAGTCCACACGTGAAACGTTCGAGTGATAGATGTGAGGAAATGATCGAATGAATTAAGTGCTAGGATCTGCAGAAAGGGCGAATTTCTCTAAAACATACCTGCTTCACTAAGAGTTCTGATTTTGTTTGCCGTTTCCAGACGACACATACCTCACCATCACAAGTCTCATTACATCTTAACATAAATGTTTACCTATTCTTGGAACATTTGATTGATTAAACGTAGCCACAAGTTGAAAGGAACATGTTAAGTGCCTCTATGTGAGCAGTTTTGAGAGACACTAAAAGACTGAAACATTATGTTAATGATTTTCATAGCTTTTCATCTTAGTGTGAAAGAGCTAGAAGTTCGTAGGTCTTGTCGACGTTATAGGATCGGTGAAAGAACATGATTGTTAAATGTGGGCGGAACACATAGACTCTATTTTCAATCTACTTCCTATTTTTTGAAGAATGGCAAGTTTTTTTCTTGCAGTATATAGCTTTGGCTTCATTTATTAGATGTTAATATGGCTTTCTTTGTTGTGCCATTATCGCTTGTCCTCCCTACTGTACCATTTTGTTCGCTATGCAAATAAAAGGTGCAACTTCGACAGTGGCCACTAATAGGAATTGCACATATGTCTATGTAAAGGGTCAGACAATGGTATTAACGCTTCCGAGTGCAGTGTTATTTAGGTTGAAACGATGGACGTTTCATTAACTTAGGTCAAATGATAACGCTGTTTCGAAATGTGACCTCGTTTTGTGCCGCTCCGTATTATAAAAATCGTTTACAGTTACGAATAAAGTTGTGTGATGTAAAGCATTGACAGGCCCATCCATCACCTAGGTGCTTCCTGAAGAAAGTGCTCGCCGCCACTTGGTTGTTACTCCACTGTTTATTTTCAACGATTCATCGTTCTTACGACATGTATGACGTGATATTGATGTGACGATAAATAGCGCTACGAAGATATAAAGGATTAGTGTTAGTTGTTTGCAACTGTGTGAGAGATCCGCATGACTGATGCCATCAGATTATCCCTAAATTCAGCAAAATTTTCCCTTTCAATGGGGAAAGTATTCGCGGTGGAGAAAGCGTAATAACTCGGGCTTCTTGTCGTTCCCATCGGCCTCTTTCGCATTGACGTCACTCGATGCGGATCATTTTCCCAAGTGGTCTTAGAACGAATATAATTCATGGTCTTCGCCAACACGATTATCGTTGTCTTTTTTCACGGTAGGTTGAAAACAGAGAACGGTCGGCTGTGATGGAACTAGAATGAGTTTGCGTCTTGAGCAATGAATTTGTGTTCGACAAAGGGCATGCGCCCGATATTCGTACATTACTGAATGGTTTTTCAAAGGCTAACAGTCATATTAAAAATCACCACTAAAGGACTCCCAAATCGCCACTAGAAGACGTAGTCGGGCAAAACGTGTTTTCCCACCTCGATATTGGTCATATTCTATTATTTCAAAGTTACAATCACCGATAAACTGACTGCATACGATTATGTCCAAATACATCAAAGCTTGTTTGAGTTACTTTTGTGGCTGATGAAAAAATTTCCGTTCCTAGCAGCACTTAAGACAAGACATTTCTGTGGACGTGATGTCATTAATGCCCTGGTTTGATCCTTCCCCAGACCAACCATATCCACATTCCACCAAGCTGTAGGAAATTGCTACCAGACTTATCTCGTACCAGCTCGCTTCCTAAACTTCACAAAAGTTGGATGCTGTCTGTGATAATGTTCTGGAAGCGCCTTTGGGCGGTCATCTCAGTGTTTCAGGAAAAAAAATGAGCACATTGGTGTTCAACGATATTCACGAAGAACATACAAAATCGTTGGGCGGCAGCCGAAGCCAGACGCAAAAATCTGAAGACCTATGTGGAATAAGCATGCAAAGAAAGGAGTCGGATGAGAGAGATGCTGAGGTTCTAATGTGATGTCGAGATGTGTAAACAAGTGATTCCAGTAAATAGCTTCCGAAACTCGGTATTCGAGCCGTAAACACACCACGGTTTCTTTTGTAGATTTCCACTAATTATCCGCTCTGTCCATGAATTGTGCGATAGTAGGAATAAGAGCCCCATCCCTTTTTGTGGGAAGCTTTGGACCTTCAAACCAATATAAATCGTTTTTCATTACTTGTTTAAGTCAATGTTTTCTTGTGACGCACTCCAACGGATTCGGCTCGTTGAGACAGTGAAGATGCTCACAGCAAGGACTATTGGCTGTTGAAAATCGCTTCGAATGAATTCCACTATTAAGCAGACGAAGACGCGGAGGCGTTGGCCGAATAAAACTTTTATGAACGTGTTAGCTCAGTAATTCAAGGAAACACTGACCAATCATATCGAAGTTAAAGGAAGATCGATTTATGAAATCTTTTAAATCATTGAAAACGTCCCATTATAGCAGTGAAATCAGCTTTCCTCATAAAAGTAGAACGTTGAGAACGTCGTGTTACTTTACACAAAGATATTTTCATACTAAGCTAAAGGATAAAGGATAAATCTCTCAGTGTTGATCAATCCTTCAAGGATGCGCTATGCGTTCGTCTTCATTAAACATCGCTGGAGGTGACTGAATGCACATCTAGCCTTTACAATGACTCGCGGTAGCCTACCGATGTTTCGAGCCAGTGCTGCTATCCTCCCACACAAATCTGGTGCCAATTTGCCAACCCTGGAGGGATGGAAGGCTTGGAGAACCACGAGCGTGGAGATCGATCATAAGTGCGTGTTGCAAGGCGCGTCCGACCACTACGCCACATGTGCCCCTTCATGCTATCTATGGTACATTTTTTTCTTCGCAGAAGCATAAAGAAAGATATTTTCGAAAGAAAAACGCATTTTGAATGTTTATTTTGTTTTTGCTGAGACATTGCGTGCAGGATTGTCTAATTTGTGAAAAGCACTAAGTGCTAGCGGGTTTTCGAAATGAGGCTTAACTACTGTCACATGTGCTCAGTCCATTCTGCATGGGCTTTCTCTACGCTAGGAGACAAGTTATAAAAATGAGTAACTCACTTGATTCCGCTGTATTTTCCTTCACACTGGAAGCATTCAAGTGCAGCGATGGCACCAATATCGCTAATGGTGAAGATTAACTGGGAAAGAAAAAGCATCCTCTTAATCGTTGGACATCTGAAGAGCTAGGGCAGCTGGGTGGAAAATAGCGCGTGACACAAGATAATCACCGGATGCCATAAGGAAATCCATTCACTGGATTGCTCTTATACTTGTCAAGCAATTTAGCGAATCACGAGCATCGACGACAAAGACAATTGAATAGTTACTTAGACTAAAAAAACATCCTCGGCAGTTGGAAAAGTGGACAAATCTTAGAATATTTAAGGGTATTTTCTTAGATTGCTAAGCGAATACGAGGTTGGGATAAAAGTTCTTAGATTATGGTTTAGCCGAATAAAGCTTTTACGTCAAGCCCATGTTAGCTTAATAGTCTAAGAAAATTTGACTTATGCCGAGGTTAAATGATCGTCGGTTTTGAAAATATTGGGTAGTAGAAATTTACAGAATGTACCCATCAATCAAACAAAAATCGCCATTCAACGGTTATCACTGTGAATCTCTCGATGCTTTATAAAGCTTAACGTTATTAGAGACATATCGACTTTTAACTTAGAAATTGAAACTTTGCCAGAATTTAGTGATAAAAAAGGTACTCTATCTTAAGAGAATGTTCTGCATTACGAGAAGATTGCAGAAATATTGTAAATCAAACATCATGAACTCTGGCGTTCAGACGTCTGCGGCGCTTTCCTTAGTGGGAGAGAATGAATTGCTCACAGGGCGGACTACAAGAACGATCAACCTCAGCAGAATTTAAAAGCGTTCATTAAGAAGGCAATGTCCTTAAATGAGAACCAAACGCATGTGCAAAACACGAAGGTTATGGATGATAAGTGCAAGGAAACGAATTCAGTGAGAGGACTGCTGGGACGCGCACAATATGTGATGTCAGATCGAATAGGTGTCAGCCATGCGTTACTCCATGAAGCGTAACCATGAAAAAAAGAGTAAAGGATAAAGGATAAAGGAGAAAGCTTTTAGCCTTGATCAATTGCTTAGAGATGCACCACGCATTCGACTTCATCAAGCATCCTACAGGTGTCCAATGGAAATATGGGTTATAAAATGACTTGCGGTTTCCTTGGCCAGTGCTGCTATTTTCCCAGATAAGTTTGGCACCATTTTATTGAACTCAATGGGACGGAAGGCTTTGCGAATCTTGACACGCAATCGAACCAGTGACCACATGTGCATTGCTATTCAGCTCTAGTCATTGCGCTGCACACACCCTGGAGAAAAGATGCTGGCATGAATGTAAGTGGAAATCCGCCCTTCGTACTAATTATAATATTTTTAATAAATGCGTCGTTTCCTAGTTCAGCAATCGAACGGTGGTTATACAATATACATTTACTTCCATAGAAAAACACAATACAATACAGCATACATCGACTTCCATACAAAAACAGACAATGCAGCAGTAGCTGAAGTCTCGGAAGTATTCAGTGCCAGGAACCCTACATTGAATAGCAGGGATGAATGTCCAGAGGTCACACGCGACCTGACCCCGTATGTTCGCACCAATTTCTGCTGTGGGATGGTGCAGTCATCAACCATATGCGACTATAATCAGCTGTTCTAAACTTCCTCATTGGAAGTCACAAAAAAGCGGTGGATTTTTTTGGAGAAGTTGTTGATCATGTAATTACCAAGGAGTTTTTCGTCTTTTTGTAAGTGTTATTGAAGCGTTTGGCCTAGTAGATTGTATATCAGTATACCCTTCCAGGCTCTGAAGAAGATTCTGCCGAAACGTCAGCCAGTGTTGTATTGTATTGTGTTTCTCTATGGAAGTAAATGTATGCTGTTTGAAAACCTCACGACTGCTGAACAAGAAAACGACATATTCATATTCCAATGCCGAGGTTAAAAGAAAGTTGATCCTGGGGACTGTTACAAGATGTAACAGCAAACTATTTTTTAAAGAATTTTAATAAAATAAATTGGAAGTCAGATGCGTAATTACATCAAGAGTAGGCAAAACTAGATTTGTCCATTCATTCTCGACTACATTTTTCCTTTAGTACTCTTCCTTAAAACACCACCTTAAACAAGGCGTGTGCAGCTCAATACTTGGAAGCGTCTTCTATTAGGCGATTCCGAAGCAAACAGAGTTCGTAGCTTCATTTTTTGTATATACCTTAACAACTAGAATTTTAATTTGAAGTGCAATTCGTATTTCCGTCATTACGATGGTAAGGAAGCACGGGGTGAAGTGGTTAGAGGTGTCGTGTACATCACACTTGATAGGTCTCTGGTTCGATCCCACGTTCCAGGCTCACCAATCCTCCTTTCCCTTCGACGTCACCAAGTAGCAAACTTGTCCAGAACAATAAAAGCGCCGACTTCGTACGTCAACCTCTGAATGGAATTCTATAGATCAGATATGCATTCAACCATCTCTACGAGGTTTGTTGAATCGAATGTATAGCGCATCACTCAAGGATTGATCAAAGCCGAGTGCTTCACTCCTAATCCGCTTTTAACAACTAAAAAAATTTCAAGGAAAACATAAGGCTATGATGAAATTTCAGTTTCTTACCAATTCTCTGTCGAAAATCACTAATAGCGAGAATTGGGTGCTATGTTATAAACGCGTACTTCTCCTTCCGTGAGGTGAACATATCAACAAACAAGCCAGAAAATTGAAGGAAAACGATTTCCAAAAAAATTCAGCACAGTCAAACTGCAGTGAAAAATAACAGATTAGAGTGGATAACAGTGAAAATAGTAGAAATTCGAGGTAACGTGTTGACTTCAGAGGTTGCGGGTCAGATTGTCTGTATAGTTTGTGCCGAACACTTCACTAATTCCTACGAATTCGAAATAAAACTGCATGCTTCAATTAACTGCACACACCCGTTGACGAACCGGCGGCATTCATCAATACCCTGGGGACGGAGACATCCCGTGTCCAGTTTGGATGTGGCACCGTCGCCTCTGGCATCGTGCGCGCCGAAATACTTCAGTGTAAAAAAACATCGCGGTATTGCATCCCTAATTCTGTGAAGTATAATAGATATAATACTGAAGATTCGGGAGTATGTAGAAAAAGCACTTAGGTATTATTTGTGGGATTGATGAACAACATGGTAGTATCAAATGCGTCAGCGATAGCGAGGACCTGTTCTATGTTTTGAAACTATAAATATGAAAACGTATAGCACCATTGACAAAAAGAATAACACTAGTAACTATATAATGAATTGCGTGGGCTACAGATATACTGCGTCACTTCTGCCATCCTCCGAACAAACCTACCACCAATTTTCCGACGCCGGAAGAATGGAAGGCTTGGTAAGCTCGAGGTACGGGATAGAACTAGAGACCACGTGTGTATTGCAGCCATTTCTGACCACTGCGCTAAATGCGCCCCATTATTAGTCATAACTATCAGCATTAATGACTCCATTATTAGTCATAGTTATTAGTATTAATGAAAAAAAGCAGAAATTAATACTAGTTACGTCTTTTTTCTCTATGATGTGTCTTTACCCATATTTCGTGGATCCCAGAACTTGCATTCGATCCCTTTCTTCGCATCTACCATCCATAAAGATTTTCAAAATCCTTAAGTATGGGTTCGGCTACTGCTTGAGGGTGGTTTTATCCTTTATGAATGTCGTTGAATGCGGGTGGACCCGATTCCTGTTAAATCCTGGGATAACCGTTCTAAGGCGCTTCCATATGGTTTGGAGGGAGTGAGTTGATTCCATACAAGTCTCAATTTCCCGACAGCGGAGAGATGTGAGGCTTGGTGGTCCCGGTGTAGCGTCGAACTAACGCCTTGCTTTTATTGAACTGCATCACGACCACTTTGCTATCCACAGCCTTATAATATCAAAAATGGTCATACCATTAATCTTACGGTGACGGGCATAAAATTCATAGGTGAATTTTGGTTTTTCGTTGGTTTTGGACTACTTCAAGCTAACCTAGACCACGTTTCTCCAGGGTCTTCAAATTCGTACCAAATCTGTTTCTGGCTGGAACCCGATTACAAGCGTAAATGTTAAAAATGTGAATGATAATAACGAAGATAGTGTAATAACTTAGAAGGAAGCAACGGATGACGTGAGTCACTAATAAACTTGCACATTCCATCTTAACACTAAGCTAGCTTAACTCTTCGTAGCTTAAAGTTCCAAGGAGCACATATTGTTGGAAACCTAGTCGAGTACGTTTCAAGAATTAAGCGTGGATGGCAGAATCATATGAGAAGAAAAGGCACCAGATGGACAAAAAGAAGATCAGAATAAATTCCAAGAAAATAAAAGTGGCTTCGAGACCTATAAAAAGACGGTTCGGGCTGTGGAAGCAATTTTCATATCCTGAAGATGCTGTTGGTCCCATACAAAAATTATGAAACAACCATTAATGGCTCTTGTAAAAAAATTTTTCACTCCTTCCATCTGAAAGTTGCCAGGGAAGGGAAACAATGAATAGTATAGGAATTATAATGCTTTTGGAGACTGCTGAAAGAATTATTATTATCAGTGTTTTGAAAATCATTTCACAACCAAATTTGAATTCAAATAAGTGACTTAGTTAACTGCTGATATGGAAAATTGTAAGAGGTCTTAAAGATAAACATCTTCAGAAAGTCGACTACTTGAATGAGCTTCCCATTCAACAGCAGCCCACAACCTTGTTCCAGTATAAATTCACCATATATATTTAGCGCTTGCTTTAGTTGAGAGAATGAAACCGAGGTACAGAAATCAAACCTAAGTGAAAACCGACAACAATTATTCAAAAATTTAATCCGTTTCAAAGAGAACCAATCAAAGTCCTGGTAACTTACGTTTTAGGATAAACTTCAATATTTCACCTGTTACAAGCTGTCAACCAACTGCCATGTAGGTACTAGGTGGCTCGAAAATGTTTCAGCAAAAGTTCTTTTTTTTCCAATAGTGTGCTGTTACGTACCACAATCCAAACCGAGTTCCTGGATGCACGGAAAGGAGATTGTCCGGGTTGTCCAAAAAATCTCAGAAAATGGGTTCAATATTTATGTTCTCTCATGCTTGAATCAGGAAGATTGGCATTAGCCACACTCTCATGTCTTGCCTTAAACTCCAATGAAGACATTGAGTTGGCCGCTACAAAACACTGCCAAGGACTCATGACCCAACATCTACTGGAATACGTTCTAACTGGATGAGAACTAGATACAGCTAGTGAAAAAAATATTTCTGCATACATTGCTTTAATACCAGTCACAAGAACGTTCATTATAGAACGCTTAACTTGCAAAGCTTGTAAATATGAAAAATGTATGAACTGAAAGAATTTCTGGTTGTGATAAATGTAAGTTGTCTACGAAGAGCGTCATTTTCAGAAACTCTAGGTTAAAAGACTGCAAACTGTATGTAGGAATTGTTAATTGTAAAAGTTGGGCGAAGTAAATCTGTTCGACTATAATTTTAATGATATCAATCGAATGCTTAAGAATAAGAGTTCGAGATAAGACACGTTGTATGGAAAAACAATGATGAAGCTCCCAAGTCCGACTTTCTATTAACCTCGGCATTGATTGAATATATCTTTCTACTTCTGTTCAGCAAACACGAGGTGCTATTTTATTTCTTTATTTACGCACAAGCTGACGTTTCGGCGGATTTCGGCTTCCTCAGAGCCGCTTTCTATGAGTCTTCCGCTTGTTTCATTGTTTCATCATAGAAAGCGGCTCTGAGAAAGGCGAAATCAGCCGAAACGTCAGCTTGTGCGTAAATAAAGAAATAAAATAGCACCTCGTGTTTGCTGAACAGAAGTAGAGTGATGAAACTCCTTTGCCTTTTAGAAATAAAAGGTTTTAGCCAGGCCCAGCACAAAAAGCACACTCCAAAATTCACCTATACAACCCAGAGACAGGGTTTCCTGGGAGTTCCCTTGGTAGCTTCTATTGTCTCGGATTTCGTAACACGTGTATAGTGTTGGATAAAGCAGTCGCGACCCCATCGGTTTTGTTGATAGCGTCATCATTCATGACTTTAGTGCCTGCTTTTCTAAGTTCCAGAGCTTCGTCGTCTTTACACAACGAATTTTTCTCGAAGGAGAAAACAACTTTCCCTCGAAGACTCCTAAAACTTCTGCGGCGTAACACCCATTAATTATGAAAAATCTACTTACTACGACGCATGCGGTCTACTTTGTTATGGCACCGTACACAAGTTCCAGTTTCACCTCCATCACTGAAAGCCTTTGTAAAACCAAAGCTTACATCAGCCACACGTTCAACTGAGACAATAAAACTGCCCACCCGTTGCACCTACTTGTATGCCTGGGTAGAAGTACACTTTCGATCTGCTTCTATCCCCCCCCCCCCCCCCCCCCCCCCCCCCCCGTCCCTTTCGCATCCTCGTGACTGAAGCCGTGGTAACTAAGGGTTCTTTATTGACAGCGATTCATGACTTTCCCAGTCTTAGATGTGTAATGGTATAACACTTTAGCAATAAAATGTGAGGACTACCTGTAGAACAAAACGAAAGAACAAGCCTTTATTGTTACAAATGACAACAGTTAATGGCAGGGTTCACTATGATGGTAATAAATAAATCTTACTAAAACGCAAACCAACTGGTATGAAGGGACTGTTTATTAGCAGACATAAGCCTTCAGATTTCTGTTACAGCACATCCAATGCCTGCATAAGCGTACGGATATTACGAATTACTGGGTCTGCTCGAGCGCCACTAAACAACTCAACATCTAGCAGTAAGTCTAACCGCCTTAGCTGCTCTTCTACTGCGGCAAGACGCCGTTGAGCGTCTTGACGTCGATTCATGTCAGAAGAGGCTCGAATTTCCTGAACAAAACGACAAGATAGTTTTCACGCCGAAAAAGCTCCTTGAACATAATACTCAGATAACATGCCTAGGGAAAAACATACCAATGCCTCTTTCGGTGTCAAGCCGATCAATGATGAAAGAGTTGGATTATCAATGATGCATGTGAAGTTATCAATGGATACATCCTGAATTGTGACCTAAATAGAAAGGATAAAAGAATGAAGTTCTCGACACCGATCAATCCCTAAGGAATGCGTCATGCATTCTACTCCGTTTAAGCATCGTTGGAGGTGACTGAGTGTATATCTGCCCTATACAATAACTGGCGGTGGCCTAATGATGTATCGAGGCAGTGTTGCTATCCTCCCAGACAAGTATGGTACCAATTTGCCAACCAAGGAGGGATGGAAGGCTTGGTGAGACTGCGGCTCCGGGATCGATACCGGATGTATTGCGGGGCGTCTACGACCACGGCGCCATACGCGCCCCTTAATACAAAGAATACTTACTTGGATACTTAGAAAGCCCGTCCTCACTGATTGTGCGAACCCCATCACAATCTCCACTTTTCGGAGATTTGCTGGTGAAGCCATTGTGGTTCACTGGAATCCCGCAGTTAGCCTGGCCAAATTCTTCCTCAAGCCTTTACCACCACAGGCAGTTGCAGCCCTTGTGGATCCGAGATTGAGCACCATGCGACTATTTTGATACCAGAACGGTGGTGGATCCTGTTATTGGTTTACTCTTAGCCAGGTTTCTTGATGAAAACGCAGGACTCCTTTTCAGGTTTGGAGGTCCTGCCAGGGGGATGAATCCCCCACTGTACATCGCAGCCCGACACCCAGGAACGATGAACCGGTAAACCGTTGGGAGGAATACAAAGAATAACCTTGAATATTAACAAAAATCTGTTCCGTTACAAAAAGTTACAAAAGGAAAGTTAGCGAAAGGAAGTTACAAAACCAGACATAGTCATCTCTTTTGTTCTTTCCAAATATTGTAATAAGCAACAATTTTAGGCACCGTCTCAAAATGCAAAAAAAAACATTGCTATATTCATACTGATAAACTGACCTTCATGGTCCACAGATCATCAACAATCCGCAAAGGATTAACAATATCCACAACAATACCCTAAAAATCTTGAGTACGTTGGTAAAAACGAACCTCTGTGACTCCTTGAGAATAGAACTATAACCTAATTCTTAGAATAAGTCAAACTTCACCTGTATAGTTTTTCGGCATGATCCTACGGCGAAACGCATTTGCTTTAAAGCTTCAGCTACGTACACAACGTTTAGAACTTGGAACTTCGTCACTATATCATCTTGGTTAGGATTCTTTAAACACAAAATAATGGTATGAAATAAGTATAAAATGTAAACATAAAATATATACTGCATTACACTTCACAACTGTTTGTTAGAGAAATTCCAGTCAACAACAACCTAACCTGAACAATTCTCAACGGCTCTGGACCAGCTGAGCTTCTTAATGAAGAGTTGATAGTCGAGAAATCCAATCTGTTTGGCTTGATATCTTCTTCATCGTCTAATTCTATCACTTCAATTTTTACCTTAAAAGATAAAGAAGCAATCATGTAGAAATCTGAAAGAATAGATCTATAGATTACACAACAGCGAGTTATCCAATAAGTCCGTGTCGCAGTTTAGGCGGCGACATAAAAACTCGCTTTCACAGGTTTCCGAAAGTGACTGCGGTTTTCAATTCTAATACTTAACTTACTCATCCAAGTGCCTCGAGTAATTCTAAGCTTTACTAATTGACACATGAAACCGTTGAAAAGTTGACCTATTCCATCATAATGAAACCACCCATTTCTAAATTCCACGGATCTTTTTTAACCAAAAAGTGCTTGTTGAACACCCCTTAAGCAGGTACATGTGCTAGTTGCTTGAAAATATGGCATTCCCTTGGCGAGTGGTTTGTCGAGTATAGTGGATGATGCAGTTTCTAAGTCAATACTTCCAAGTTTCTACACCCGCAGCTTATTTTTCGAATATAGAAGAGTTGCAGGCACCATATATTTATAGAAAAACTTTGATCGCTAGCTCTGCATGTAGAATCTCTACCAGAAACCCTCTCAATTTTTAACCTTTCTAGAAAAAGACCACTTTAGTCCCACTTGCTCACTGCCTCTCATTTTCGAAAGAGGACCCTTGACGAGAAATCTGGAAAAAACACGCTCCATGCACTCCAGCAAATCGGAATTCAGCACTGGTAGAATAAGAGAACTCGAAGCTTCCGTGCAGACTTGTACATCATAATGGTCTGGCGGACAGCACAGTGGTAGTGGTGCCCGTCATCACGAGCATGGCTCCAGTTCGATTCTGCCCCGTGCCAACCAAGCCTCCCATCTTTCTGGGGTCGCGAAATTGATACCGGACATGCCTGGGAGAAAAATCACTCTCTGCAATCCAGTTGGGAACAACGCTCCAGGCCAGTTATCTCAAGACTCAAGGGAGAGCTGCTCAACCAGCATTCTACGACATTCAAAATGAAATGAAAATCCTCAAGCAGCAACCGAAGACACACGTAAAAATTGGAGTATCTTCATGGACAATTGGAGCATCTTCATGGACAATGTATGCGAAGAAACGAATCGAATGTGAGGCCTGGGATCTGCGCAGTAAACGTGAAGACGATCATATGAATGAAAAAAATGACCAAAAATAACAAAATCCAATACTAGCTGAGATGTGTTGGACAAAAGATGGAAAGACCATTCAATTTCGTACCAAATCCATTGTCCTCCATGCACATCTGGCTATGTGTTAACAAAAAGAATCCTTTACATCGCGATTTTCCCGAAATATTGCATATATTTGCAAGAAATGCACATATAAGACCACTGTGAATACACCAGAATGGAAAATGGAAAGCTATCGCCACATTCAGTACCAATAGCATTCATCTTTGTTCACTGCACCTACTGTCACGATTCAGAAATTTACAGTGTATCCTCGCCTCCACGAATGGTCTATCGCCGTGGCTGGAGAGCTTCCGGTTGTGTGATGAAAAGCATGGATTTTCCCACTGCATGATCTCTTGGGGAATCTGACGTCTTCAACCAGAATCCCATCTAAGCCTAATTTATCCCAGGTGGTAGCTCATGGCCATATTAGGTCTTTCCGAAATTGGCGTCCGATTCCAATCAGTATTTTTAAAGTCGCATATCTCACCTAAGCATAACCCTCATTTTACGAAATAAAAACCATTGGAATCTATACAGTCTTACTGATCAAATCAGTTTGCTTTTAACAGTTGCAATGAATTTTGAACGTCTCGAGGAGGTGAAATCATTAAAGTCATTTTCCGGATAGACTTTGTTTCTGAAACCTTTCCGGCAGAGAAAGTTGTCAAGATGATTGAATAAGTGATCTTCGGCAGGCTAGAGTTCTGGGAAGTGTAGTGGATGACGCAACGTTTTCTAGTTCAGATCGCTCGACTTTTCTAGTACCTAAATTACGACGACTGGTCGCGCCTTATCGTAAAGAGCTTCAACGCGATCCAGTCATTAAGTCGACCATCAATTGTTGTCCAAGAGGATCCATTTCTCGCCAAATGTCACAATACGATCAAGAAATGGGTCGTTCATGGTGTGCAGAATCGCCAACGATGCCTTAAAACGGCGATTTCGTTGATTAGCATTCAATTGGCATGGCATTCATTTTTTTGAGCTTCTTCATTAGCATGTCCTTTAAGTGCTACGAAACAATTTAGATGTTTATACAAGTATCAGCTGTCTTCCCACTGATTGGCAAGTAACTCGAACTGGCGCCAGTAAATCTTCCATTTTTCCCTGTCGCAAACAAAAGTAGCCCTGTGAATTCTGCTCACTCTAAGCACTCGTTGAGCATCACACCTTTCTTCCAGCGTTTTCGTTAAGAACCCTCACCAACAGGTCGGTGGTCTACATGCAGTACGCTTGACAATCCGACGAACCCAGTCACTAACTGCTCCTGTTCGTCGGTTGCCGTTCATGGGCATAATGTGTCCGGCCCACCTTATCTTCTACTGTTTGGTATATAGAACGGCATATCTGATTTTTGATCGTTGACGAAGGTCGGCTCTTCAGATCCTTTTCCTTACTTGTGTGACACAGGATACTCCTAGAATCGTCCTTCCTACTGCGCGTTCAATAATACCGAGTGACTTCTCATACTACTTATGAGGCGATTAGGTTTCTGACGCATACGTTAGGATAGGAAGTACCACCGAGTCGAAAAGATGACACGAAGTCGGGTACTCATTGTTCTCTTCACTACATGCTCGATGCTCTTGAAAGCTCCACAAGCCGCACGTTTCCTTTAGCTCAGCTCTAGAGCTAGGTCGTTTACCATATTGATTTTCCGACCTAGAGAGATATAACTGGAGCATTCGGAGATATTCGTTCGCGATGCTTCAATGAGTCTTGTTATAATTGTGGATGTAGTCCACTGAACTGAATCCTTTGCGAAACCCAGCTTGCTCACATGGCTGTCACTTGTTCAGTGTTCTGTCAATCTTGCTTTGGATGACTGGAGTAAAAAGCTTGTAGACGACTGACAGTAAACAGATTGGGCTGTGGTTGCCGATATCGTGGAGGCCACCTTTTCTACTGCACCACGGATCTCTCCATAGGGGATCCTTTATCGTTTACTTGTGAGGTAATTTGGCGCGTCCACAGGTGCCGTATAGGGAGTTAATCTTAGACCAGAAGCGATCTTTGCTTTCTTGAAACTCAGGTGAATCTAGGGGATGGGCTTCCTGTTTCTGCTGCGGCGATATGGCGCATACCTTCTGTTTACACGAGGGCGTACTCGTCTATGCGTGCGTGGGTGTGTCCTCGTTTATGCGGACTGTGTTATAGGAATATTATACAAGTTGTTCCGAAAATTTTCGGATAGTTGTGCGTGTATTTGCTTATTAAAGAAGACCCTTCAAATCATCGCCACTGTTAGCAGGAGCACACCCACGTCCAATCTCACCTTCATGGCCGAACTTGGCACGATAAATTTTCGAAAGTAACATTGCACTGTCCGTTTAATAACACTTCTTTGGTCCCAATACCTAATTCTTTCGAACCATTTGCACTGCGTACCTCCGAGTTTGAATTCTTAAAATTAGATTCGTCGAAACTGCTCTCTTAGCATTCCAAATTCTCACCTTTGAAACTTGTTAACAACATAATTTGTAAAATATAACGATGATGATAAGTCGTATATAATGCTGAGATATTTATAAAACTCCGGACCGCAGTGTATGCGGTGGGGAGCGAACGCACGCTATTGCCCTTTCCTGGGAGTAGCGCACTTCACCACCACACCAATCCCGTGGACGGGTGATTGCTGATGGCAAAAGATTAATAGAACTACCTGAGAGACAGGCAAAACGAAGGACCCGGATGGTGGTGGTGAAGTGCGCTACTCCCCGGAAAGGACAATAGCGCGCTTTCGTTCCCCACCGCATACACCTGCGGTCCGGAGTTTTACAAATATCTCAGCATTATATACGAGTTATATTTCGCAACATACCCTGCCATTAAAAAGAAAAAGGCAGTAAATAAAAGGGTTAAGATAATGATGATAAAATATTTGCAAAATAATTCGTACTATAGTCCAATTATGCGGAGTCCAATCTATGGTGCAAGTTTCGTCAAAATTTCTTCCAATTTTTCAATACTAATAGAATGCTCTGGAAGTCTATCAGTACTTCCAAAAAGATTAATCGTCGACTCTTTTTCCGATAAAATGCTTCGCTGTTCAAGATACACCGAAAAAACAAAGAAGAAAAACACGTTTTGTGAGTTCTGAAAAAAATCAGAATCCCATGTTGGTGAAAAAGCAAAGTTACGGTATATTGAAACAGATCTGTAAATTGCTCTTGAAGATTTATAAAAGCTGTAGTGTTATGGAAGTCGCTTCAGACACTAAAACGGACCACCTAGATGGTAAAACTGCTGAGTTATATGTACAGTAACTCTAAAGTTGTGTGGAATTCTTTCCCTCAATTTTTTCACTCGAACAAAACGAATATATTGGTGTGTCAAAAAAGTAATACCTGACATTATTACCTTTTTAAGTGGGGTATCCTGTTTAATCTCTGTAACACTATTTTGTTTCTGAGCACAAGGAGAACTAGACTCGAGATAATTCCGAATTCCTTAAAGACTTTGCGAATTAGTATTTAAAAAAACGATTAGTGTGGTATCTTTTTCGTTTTATAATTAAGAAATGCATATGTAATATTTACGATTGAGGGAACCATTTTCTTTAATGGCTCATTATAAAAGTTCCACGAGATCAAAGTTGAACTACTTCCTCAACCTCGCACCAACATTCTGGAACGGAAAATACGAGACGGTGAAAAAGTAAATAATTTAGGAAAAAGAAAACGTTATTCCTGTTTTTAGGGCATACTAGTTGCAGTATATTGTTGTACGCGGCATCCATTCATTTTACGGAAGGTCCAACCTATCCAGGTGGTGGTTCGAACAAGCTATGGGCCTACCAACGTTCTCGTCTCTTCGAGCTCGGCGAATTGATAATAGACTTGTCTGAATCAGCACACGCCCTCTAATCGACGTGGGAACGCCCTAGCAATGCCATCCCACGATTTCAGGGAGAATCAACTCGACAAGAAGTTAAGGACATTCATGACAAAGATGAAAACCGTCAAACAGCAGCGTAATTCACACGCAAGAATTTCGAAGACTTTCGTGGATGGTGGATGGAAAAAATCGAATGCAAGAAGTACTGAAATCCATATATGGTGATTCTTGCACATTTTAGAACACTTGAAAAGGTTTAAATATAGAATACCAAAGTGCTCAGAGTTCCCAATGAATTATGTAATACGAATTCCTGTTCGTCAATAGCAGTCGGGTCGGTGCTAACATAAACGATTAGATGAACGCAAGGTGGGCCATTAAGAAGTGTCTATCTGAACATCACACTTCCATAGCTGTTGGAGAGTCATGTCGGCTCAGCAACGCCAAGGCGAAAACACTTGGCCATCATTATTCCACCACTGAGAGGAATAACTACACATGTTGGGCGAGTGGTCAGTGGCCTCAGTACTAATTAGTGTACAGGAGCAGATTAGCTGCGATGGTGGTCTCCTGGTCCTTGCCGTTGGTTCGACAAAAGTCCCTAAAGTGTACATAGATAGTCCTAACTACTTGCCGATGAGCACTCACAGACAACGCAGGAATAACTCGCAAGATTACCCCAGAATGACGCACTAGCGCGACCAGCTGTGGAGGGAAAAACTTGTTGAGGATTGAGGATGAGGATTTGCAGTTTCGAAGTACCCTCTGCGGCAACTATTTTCATTAACTTTAAAGTGGGAACTCGAGAAGTTCTTTGAGGAAGATTAGTTTCCGTACATCAAGAGAAGGACATGCAACAATGATCTCCGAGCCAAAGTGACCGATTAATTTGATTATCAGACCTTGAACTGCAGCAAAGACTTAATGATATGAACAATCAACAATGGAAGAACAGAAGGCGGAACTTTGATTTTCTACAAATTGAACTGAACGTATTAAAGAGTGATCAAAACATTCACAAAAGAATTCCGCCTATCGAATCCTCCCGACCGTTATTCAACAGGGATAAAGGATAAAGCTCTCGGCGCCGACAAATTCCTGAGGGATGCGCCTTGCATTCGACTTCATTAAGCATTGTTAGAGGTGGTTGCAAATGGGGCCTTTAGAATGACTCGTGATGGCCTACCGGTGAATCGAGCCAGTGGTGTTATTCTCCCAAGCAAATCTGGCACCAACCTGGGGACCCCGGTGGGATAGGAGCGCGGGAATCGATCGCATGTGCACTGCAGGGCACCTCCGAACAATGCGTTACACGCGCCCCTGTTTAACAAGGGAATTCCATAAACTGAAGGTAAAGCATACCTAGTGTTGCGGGACGTCTCAGTATAATACGTGGAGTCTCTTTTATACCAGAAGTATCCAACTGAGAGCTACAGAGAGAAATAATAGAAGCTGAAAATCGAAAACTATAGAAAGAAAACAATGCAGGAACAAACAAAGGCACCATTGTTGGAAGGATAAGCTTTAAATCCAGAAATAAACAAACTTCTTTCAGCTCTTCTATCCAACGAACGTCTTTTAAGATTGTTGTCACTATGAGATATGTCATACGGTGATGAATAACTGAAGCTTTTACATTACAAAGTTGACCAATTAATGGTAATGAAGAATTACAAACCTCATGGTCGTCTGCAGTCGACTAAGTTCTGCATCAAAATCCGGTGGGCTATCCTCTACTGGAATCGGGAGCTGGCGATTCTGAACACCTTTTGCATTTCCCTCTGTGGTATGCATCGGTGATACCTGCAACTTATGTGTAAAAGTATATATCACTTTTTAGTTTGGTTCAACTGAAGCCGTCTTTCTACGGACCTGTGCAACTGGCTTCCAGGGAGCTCGTAAAGCACGCGCCGATGTGTGAGAAGACCTAAACCCCATCATCGAACAATTCGAATTTCTTTGAATATCAAATATAAATCAAAATTTCGAGCTACTATGAGAAGCTCAGCAAGCCTTAAAACTGACCCAGAGGTTACCGAAGAATCTTCACGGAGATCATCGTATCCACCATAACATAACGTTGGAAGCTTATCGAAAACTTTAGTTGGTTTGTGAACATTTACTAAAGTACATTTTATAAGAAGAAATAGGGCTTTAGAAAAGCCCAGAAAGAGTGACAGAAAAGAACATGGTTTCCTTACCATTACGTTTAACAACGTCGTCCATAGTCCTGAAGTTGTCTTTTACTCTTCTAACGATATCGCACTGAAGAGTCGTCTTACTGGCGGCACTATCACCTGCCCTAAAAAAAAGAAATGTGATACACATCAAATTTAATCCAAACGATTTAAAGGATAAAAGGATAAAGCTCTCGGCTTTGATCTAACCTTGAGAGAAGCGCGGTTGCGTTTGACTTCATTAAGCATCGTTTGGAGCTGATTGAATGCATATCTGCCTTTACAATGACTCGCTGGCCTACCGATGTATTGAGCCAGTGATGCTATCCCCCAGAGAAGTCTGGTAGCAATTTGCTGACTCCGGAGGAATGGAGGGCTTGGTGGGCCTGAGGCGCCGGGATCGATCCCATTTGTATTGCAAGGCACCTCCGACCACTGCGTAACATGTGGTGCCCCTTCCAAACGTTTAGAAAAGGAAATACGTGTCGTTGAAAAGTGACGAGAACACCTTGCCTATTGTGTTTTTTTCCTTTTACACCACTTCCTGTGTCTCTTTCCGACCCGAAAGCTTCGGTTTGAGTTTTAACTGATTGTTTCCTGAACGAAAGCAAATCCAGAGAAACCCCTAGAATAACTACTAATAAGAGGTGCACTTAGTCCACTGACATAAACAAATTGCACCTATACAAAAATTCCTGCAAGAGAGATATGCATATTCAAAAGACACGCCTACTTCGAGGTCGGAATAGGTACATTCAACCTTTCAGACATCACTTGGAGTGGACGACAACTCGTGAAGAACGACTCAACGTCTCCACCTTAAAGTTACTCTCACTAAAACACAGCAGTGATAGAAACTGCAAAAGTGAGTCTATTATGAATAAACTTCTATAACTTTAATGCCAAATAAATAATCACCTAGGAGCTGAACGTTCGTTGGTTTGAGGAAAAACACTCCCTTTCTGCACAAAATGGGAGGGATTAGGAGAATCTGCAAAGGACTATCTGCATAGAAACTTCATAATAAGTTATGAGTCTATTGCCTAAGTCGAATGAACCATGTTCTAAGCATTACGATAGTCGAAACATCGTACCTTACACCCAGGTTTTGTAAGAAGAGAAAGGCTTCTTATCGAATGATACTCGATTGCTCTAAGGATTGTCTCGCCATCACTAACTGTGAACGAAAGCATACGTCTAGGCTTCTAAAGAATAGTTGGTACTGAGAACTTCTTCACAAATAACTATAGCGATCAATCGATAAACATGTACAGCTTCCAGATTCTCTAGGCCAGGTCCATGCTCCATTTCAGGCAACGGTTCAAATCCAGTGTTATCGACGAATTCGTGTACAAGAGCACAAAACTGCGAGTAGAACGATGCACCAATGTCAACAACAGAAACGACCTTAAAGAGAAAAATGTTCACAATGAGCTTTCTTCCGAACAGTCTCATTTTCTCAAGACTAAAACAAATAGTGGAACGCTCCGCCTTCTTTTTATTCATAATTAGTTTTAAGGATCAACAACGATTGGGATATAAGCAAGATACTTGCTGAACTTTAAGCCTAGGCCAAATTGAACCGCGATTACTCTTTCCGGGGAGTCACGAGAAAAGCAGAATGAGGACCTTGGGGGTGCTGTGCGTTAAAATTGAGCCCCCGGCAAGGAATATCGCAGTTCGATCTGGTCTGAGGTCCAAGTTTTGCAAATATTATGAAAACGATAGACAACGGGAAAAAGTTATACAATGAAGGTCTGGATGTTAACAAAAATAGGCATCTAAACACGCATAGTCCATTGATGAAAAAAGGAGAAATTCACTTCCACCTGGAGAATCAGAGGCTGATTTACATAAGCCTTATGAGTATTCCCATCGATGGCAAGCTGCTTCAGTAAAGGATAAGTAGTTTCGCTTATATCCGTGTATTTCCACTGTTCGTACACCAAACTGGCTATGTTCTTTGGGTTTTCAGGAGCAGATTCTCCCTGTTTTGAAAATAATGGACATCGGAAAACGAAATTTGTAAAGCACAAAACGATTTCAACGAACTAATAGTGGAACCTACCATCTCCGCTTCAAAGAAGGAAAACAGGTACATTAGAACATTCGAAAGCCACTCTTCCTTCAGTACAATATGTCTCTCCATGAAGAAATCGAACACGAACGACGGGACATCCTCCATTTCATGTTACAGTGACGAATAATGTAGTAACTTCTTACACATCTGACATAATAACTATAGCAGAATACCAGTAAATGAATGGTATTGCTGGAGATAGCATTGTGATGGCATCGGAACTAACCCGTTTGGGACCGCCGAGGTTCGCGCCTCTGACCGCAATCACGGATGAGCGACATCGATACAGAGGCCATTGCATGCTGGAGACTAGGAAAAACGCAGTGGAGCCCAATCGTTGAAGGTTAATGGGATTCAGAGTGCTCTATAATGAAGCCTAATAGCTTCATTTGGATTACCTGTATCCCCTGTAGAAAAAAAGCTCTTGGCGTCAATCCCTAAGGGATGCGCAATGCATTCAACTTCACTAAACATCGTTCGGCTGTGATTGAATGCATATCTGACCTTTACAATGACTCGCGGTAGCCTACCGATGTATCGAGCCAGTACTGGTATCCTCTAGAACAAGTTTGGTACTAATTTGCCGACCTCGGAGGGATGAATGGCTTGTTGAGCCTGCTTTGGTTGTCTTAAACACCCTTTGTTATCCACACTCTTTTTACGCGATCGGAACATTTTGTGTGTTGTTCCTGTTCCAAATCATCACGAGCACGATAACACAAAAGGCATGAAGTTGTCTGCTCTGATCACAAGGGAGCTGGATGTGGAAGTGGACGAATGTTTTCGGTAAAAGTTCTGGACCTGTGCCAAAGCACCGCCTCCTCCAGAAGACATCTAAATAACACAGTGAGTTAATATCGTATTCGCCCACCTGTGGTGCGCCATGTAGTTAATCCAAGGTGTTCTCCCTTATTGTATGTGGTCACTGTTGTATACTAACTTTGCTCTCATGTACCTCTAAACACGCTAACTCTACTGTGTGTTCACATTAACCCCATCGCAGTATACTCTTACGCTTACATGTATCTTTAATACGTTAACCTAATCGCATTGTACTTACAAGCTAACACATAACCTCATCGGAATGTAATCACAAGCTTACATGTAGTGCTTAACGTGTTAACCTCATCAGAACGACATCACAACCCTACATATAGTGTGTAATCCTATAGTATTGTTTGTGAGCCAGGTATTACGGCTTTATATAAATCCCTTAATGTGCCTTAATCTTGTGACACTATTGATTATAACTCGTATGAAGTGCAGAGATATTTGCAAAACTCCGGACCACAGGTGTATGCAGTGGGGAACGAACACGCGCTGTTGTCCTTACCGGGGAGCAGCGCACTTCACCACTACACCATCCGGGTCACTACCATGACCACTGCATACACCTGTGGTCCGGAGTTTTGCAAATATCTCAGCACTTCATACCATTGATTATTTCAAATGCACATGGCACTGTTTCACTGGTCTGTAACAAAGATACTAGCCCGTCCTACCCTCACTTATAGATTATGATACTATATTGCAGTCTGTAGTGTATCACCTATGTCACCTGTAGTCGCGTCGATCGTCGAGTGACTCGAGCGGGCGCCAGTAAATCTTCCATTTTTCCTTGTCGCGTGCAAGAGTAGCCCAGTGGGTTCTGCTCGCTCTAGGGACTCGCCGAGCATCATATCTTTCCTCAGGGCTCTTTGTGAAGAACTCTGACCATCGGGTCGGTAGTCTTCCCGCAGTACGTTTAACATCTAGAGAAATCCAGTCACTAACGGCTCTTGTCCATCGGCTGTCATTCATACGCATTGCGTGTCCGCCCCACCTTATCTTCGACTCTTAGGCGTACAGAACGGCATCTTTGATTTTTGGTCGTTGACGCAGATCGGAGCTTCGGATCCCATCCCTTACATATGTGGTACGGAATACTCCTAACATCGTCCTTTCGACTGCGCGTTCGATAATGCTGAGTGGTCTTTCATATTGCTTAGGTAGCGACCAAGTTTCTGACGCATACGTTAGGGCAGGGAGTACCCTTGAGTCGAAAAGGTAGGCACGGAGTCGGACTTTCCTTGTCCCTTCACTACATTGTCGTTACTCATGAAGGCTCCCCAAGCCGCTCGTTTCCTTCTGCTCAGCTCTGGAGCTAAGTCGTTCATCACATTGAAATACCTACCCAGATAGCCATAACTGGAGCCATTTGGAAATATTCGTTCCATTGAGTGTGAATTGGGCATGCGAAACCAATCCGTTCCTCATGAACATCGCTTGTATCAAAGTCGGCAAGCATACGTTCCGCTTGGCTAATGTTTGATGTTATAAGGACGATGTCATCAGCAAAGCGAAGATGGTGTAACTGCCGACCGTCGATTTTCACGTTCATATTATCCCATTCCAATGTTCACATGACTTTCTGGAGTGTGGCGGTAAATAATTTTGGCGATATGGTATCGCCTTGCCTAACTCCTTTTTTAACGTCAATGTTATTTAATGTCGTTTTAGAATGGTGATATCTTGGTTGTGAAATTTTTGTGCAGCTCACGAAGTATTTATGTACTGAGTAGGGGCTCCTTGACTATCAAGGGCTTCCAAGACTGCTTCTATCTCAACTGAATCAAAGGCCTTTTGTAAATCGATGAAAGCGAGACAGAGCGGTCTTTTGTACTCTCGCGATACTTCAATGAGCCGTGTTACCGTGTGGATGTGGTCCATCGTACTAAATCCTCTTCGAAACCCTGCTTGCTCACATGGCTGTCCTTTGTCTAGTGTTCTGTCGATCCTGTTTAGGATAACTCGAGTGAAAAGTTTTCAGTCGAGAGACAGTAAGCAAATTGGGAGATAGTTGCCGATATCGTGCAGGTCACCCTTCTTGAACAATAACACGGTCTTGCTTGTCTTCCACTGAGTAGGGACCTTGCATTCAGACAGATAACGTGTGAAGAGGCGACCCAGTGTGTTTACGAGGACTGGCGGAAGGTTCTTCAGGTGTTCTCGTCTTATTCTGTCTGGACCTGGTGCTGTTCGATTTTCCACCGACAGAATGGCATGCCGGATTTCAGAAGGTCGGTGGTTCAACATATCCATCCTTCTTTATTTCATATGACGGAAGGTGGACGTGGCTATCGAAGAGATCCGAGTAGTATTCGTGAATGATTTTCTCCATTGCCTTTCTGGGCGCTGCAACTGTTCCGTCTTGGCGCCGGAATGCAATAATTTTGGTCTTGTAATTGCGAAGCTTCGGCAGGCTTTACGAATACTTTTCCCAGCCTATGCATCTTCGGTCATTACTGCTGCTTTTCTCTCTCTAAGATCTTCTTTTATCGCCTCTCTGCATTGTTTTGCGAGTTGGGACGTTAGTTCGCGGTTGCCTGCAGCTCGTGCGATCCCACGCTGGCGTATCAGCTCGAGTGCTTCTGGAGACAAACGTTTTTTGGTGACTTTCCAAGTCTGAGCTTTCAAAGCGCTAACGTGAAGATGTCGAATGAGCCGATCGTATTCTTCGTCGATGTTATCGACAACGGCATCTTCCCAACAGCCGACTAATGAATTGAATAAATCCCAGTTTACGCTGGTTCTAAGACTTCAGTTTTGGAATTTAGCGGCTTTATCTCCTTTCCGCGAGAAATAAAATCTTGCACGAAGGAGACGATGGGCTGATCCCGTGCAGAATTTTGAGACATCAGCGACATCGGTTAGACAAGGCCTTTTATTTACTATGATGTGGCCTATTTAATTATGGTACTCTCCATTGGGAAACTCCCACGTCCAGCGCTGAGAGTGGGGTTTCTGGAATTGTGAGTTACCATGGATGGTTTTGGTCGCCACGATAAAATCTGACAGCCGCTCACCCTGTTCGTTCCATTCTAATTCGTGGGTCTCAATGTGACGTTCCTGAGACGTTCTTCTTGGTCCAATCTTGGCGTTGAAATCTCCAATGATGACCTTGAAGAATGTGTAGTCTTCTCTGTACAACTTCTCCAAGTCCGTATAGAACGCTTCGTCTTCTTCGTCATAGTTTGATGTCGGCGCGTAAACGACGAAGATTGTCAAAGCCGGAATTGATCCACATCTTTTTAATCGTAAACGTCCGATTCGGGTTGTAAGTTATCTGAATGAATCGATGTTCATGGACAAACTCGTGTTGACGAGAAAGCCGACGCCGCCGACTCCTCTATTGTCGCATGTTCCGGGGAACAGTTTTTCTCCGGTGTCATAGACGGCGTTGAAAGGCTGGCATCTTCTCGTCTAGGCCAGGCCGATGACGTCGTCCTTTATCATTCTTGCTTGCATGAGCAATTCTTCTATCGAGGATTCGGATGCAAGTGTACGTGCATTGTGGGTACAGATCGTCGCCACATTCTTTGTAATCCAAGCAGCTTCCATTGGCTCTGAGATTTTAGCACCCTTTCCGTGCTCGTCCTACTCAACGCTGCGAAATTGGGAGCTCTTTCGAAGTCAGGGAATGAGGTACGTTTTTTTTTTACTGTGTTTAGCATTTTTGATACCCACGTATAGCTTGCTGGGCTCTGAACGTGGGTGCTGGGTATACTCACGCGGAGCTCATTTGTTATAGTCGACTCCTAACCACCTCCCATATAGTTCTCAGTCACTTGATTTCAGGCTTTTGGCCGAATTGACTCGTAGAATACAATCCGCACAAGCAAGAACGCACCCACACACGCATGCATGAATACGCTTAGCAAATACAGAAAGTATGTGCCAAATTAGCGCAGCAGAAACGGGAGTCCATCCCCTGGATCCACCTGCGTTTCAGTGAAGTAAAGGTCGCTTTTGGTCTTCGATTAACCCCCTATCCGCCACGCGGGGCGCCCCACATAGCCTCGCGACTAACAGCTCGAGATCCCTCACATGAGGGAGATCCGTGGTTGTACACTTATACATATTAGAAATAATCTGAACATAGTGAGGATTGATAGTTCCAGCGAAACGGTACAAATTTTGTGAAGGATCAGTTAAACGGGGTAAAAAAATTAGCAGTTTTTGTAGAAACAATTCAACCAAGAAAGGCCACTAAGACGACTGGCTTGAAAATAACGACGTGCAAACAACGACTTGATGTAAAATGGCTAAGCATGTAGTGTTTGTAC